ACCTGGCCCCGTCGCCCATACGCCTCTCCCTCCTCTTTCCCCCTGGTGCAGCACGCTCGCCTGGTTCCACCCAAACCCCCGCCACCCCTCTGCTCACCCACGCGCCCGCCCACGCTCTTGTGCTCGCCGCCGCCACCGCCCCGCTTCACCCAGGTCGCGGCGGCGCGTGCTGCTGCTCGATTACGACGGCACGCTCATAGGCCCCAGCAGCATCAGCATAATGCCCACGCAGGAGGTGGGGACGGAGGGGGCGTGTGTGTGCGTGTTTGTGTGCATGTGTGTGTGTATGTGTGTGTGTGTGTGTGTGTGTGTGTTTGCCTCGTGTTGCTGGGCCCACGGCTTGTCATGGGCCGCTCCCAGCGGCCCTCAGGTTTTTGCAGGGCAAGCGCGACACATGATTGCGAAGGATCATCGATATGAATGCGGCGGGCGGGCTGTTTCCAGGGGCATGGGTTGCAGAACGCCACTGATTCTGGCACATGCGCGGGCATCTGCTAGACAACATGTGCATGCACCCACCACAACTCACTCACAGCCACACACACACACACACACACACACACACACACACACACACAAATACACACGAATCATATACACATGATTACGCACGCAGGTGATGTCAGTGCTGAGCGCGCTGACGTCAGACCCCGCCAACGAGGTCTGGGTCGTCAGCGGCCGCGCGCGGCGGGAGCTCGGCACCTGGTTCGAGTCGCTGGTGGGTGCCCCTCCGACATCCCCCACCCGGCCCCCCAAACAGCCTGCCCGACGACGGCCTCACGACGTGTCTCCCCGGCCGGCCGCAGCTGCAGGGTCCTTTGCATGTCCAGTGGATCCCTGCTGCGTTTTGTGGCTGTTGTGGTCTGTGGGGAGGGGGGAGCAGGGACCTGCCTGCCCTCCGCTGACTCACGCTGGCACGCATCATTCCCTTGTACGCACATTGAGCCGACACCCGCGCCCGCACCCCGCCGCAGCCTGACCTGGGTTTGGCGGCGGAGCACGGGTTCTACACGCGGCACCCCGGCGCCGCGGACTGGCACGTGCAGCAGCCGCACCTGGACGTGGCGTGGCAGTCCATGTCGCTGCCCATCCTCAAACAGTACCAGGTGGGCTGGTGCAGGCTGGTGCGGGCTGGTGTGGGCGGTGAGGGAGGGTCATGGGAGTAGGCAGGGCCAGGCCGACCCCTCCCAGCCCAAGGGGCGAGGGGCCATGACCCAGGCAACTGGGCCCGCGCGCCCCCGTTCGCCTTCGGCTGGCTGCAGGCTGGCATGCCTCATCTGAGACGCGCCACGCGGTGGGGCTCCCCGCGGGCCCACGAAGCCGCGCAAGGACCCGCTAGCTGCGTGCCTCTCCGCTGCCCCGCGGCTTCGCGCTTTTGGACACCCCTTGCCCGCACGCTTGCGTTGCATGCCAATGCTGGTGTTGTGCACACACACACACACACACACACACACACACACACACACACACACACACACAATCCTTTGCAGGAGTCCACTGATGGCAGCTGGATCGAGGTCAAGGAGAGCAGCCTCGTGTGGCACTACCGGGACGCAGACCCTGACTTCGGCAACTGGCAGGTCCGCTGCTCCTCCCTTTCCCCCAACCTACCTCCGCCCCACTCGCACCTCCATTCCCGCCCCTCCTTCAATGCCCCCGTGCCGCCCTTCCTGCCTGGCGCGCCGAGTTGTGCGCAGCGCGGTTTGGCAGAGCGCCCGCCTTCATTTACGCTGAGGTGGCAGCTGCTGCTCTGTCCGCTGCCCTTCGCACGAGCCCCAAACCCACCACCCAGACTCGACAACAGCCATCGGACGCTCCTTGTGTTTCGCAATCAATGTTTTCCGGGCAATAGGCCAAGGAGCTTATGGACCATTTGGAGGACGTCCTGTCAAACATGCCCGTGGAGGTCAGCAGCGGCAACACCATCGTGGAGATCAAGCCCCAGGGCGTGTCCAAGGGCGCGGTGGTGGAGTCCATCCTCGAGCGCACCGCCGCCGCAGCCTCGGCCTCGGCCGCGTCGGAGGCGTCCGCCGCGGCGGCACCGGAGGACGGCGGCAGCGGCGGGATCAGCGGCGGCGGCGCGGGCAGCGCGGCGGCGGCGGCGGTGGCGGCGGCGGAGCGGGCGGCGGCGCAGCGGCGGGTCGTGCGGTTCGCGGAGGCGGCGGCGCCTGAATTTGTGATGTGCATCGGGGACGACAGGAGCGACGAGGAGATGTTTGTGGCGATAGAGGAGCACGGGGCCGCGCGGCAAAAGGAGTGCAAGGT